GGATACTCTTGTTCATTAGACTTTCGTCATGCGAATTTCTATGCCGTTCAAACAAAAAGTCATATGCAAACAAAGTTATGTTAAAAATGCAAAGCTTATGTCTGTCTCGAAGATTTTGAAAATGCATTCTTTTTCATAAAACAAGTGAATGTTTGTAAAACGTGATGTCAACTCCGTATTTACCGTAGGCCTTAAGGAGTCAGGATACCTTTCGTAACAGTATGCTTTCGAACTAACCCATGCTTCAGCTAGGACTTTTAAGGGTTATAACGTGGCCTGATTCACGGTTTAAGAAACAAAGGATAAAGGCTCAAATTATTTGTACCCACCCGCTCTTCGTGACGTTCTCCAAACCTAAACTCAGTTGATCATACGTTAGACCTTGTTTGAGTCTTTGCTCTGATTTTCCGGTGATGGTTCAGATGTTGATGATTTCTTTTGAATAGGCAGTCATTTCCTTTTTTGCTGAGGATTTGTAGGACCTCTTTCTTTTTGATTTCGTTATCCCTCTCTTTTTTGCCTGAACTGTTTCCTTTTTTGGAATTACAGTCAGCGGGATGCCCCAGTTTCATAAGTCCCCTTGGTAGGTTTAGACTTCTTGGGCTTTTCATTTATGATTTTTTCATGACTGTCTGTCCTTATGATTGTTCTGAACCATCACTGTCTTTCGTTTTGTAAGGACCTCTTTGGTGCCATTCGTTATGCATTTGGATCAACTGAGAGAACTACCCTGCCCCAGGTTATGATAAAGGGTTTCAATTTTCGAAAATAAAACTCCCACTTCTTTGGCTCAGAGGGGTTGACGAGGGATTATCTTCCTTATTACTCCAGTGTTTAGGAATTGAAACAATGCCTGTACCTCATCAGCGGGGTCTGTTCAAAAGCATACTGTAATGATCATGGTATCGTTTTCGTCATCCTCCCTCAAGAGGCTCAGAATTATTAACCGAGAGTTGACATCAGAAAAATATGAAAAGAATATAATAAAAATAATTGTATTAATTCCAAAAACAGACATATGCTATGCATTGATAGAATAAAAGAGTTTGCTATGACATTAATTGTTTGTATAAGCAAAGAAAAATACAACTCAAAAATTCACATAAACAAAAGTCTTCAATGATTGGGTAACGGAGCAGTGATTATGTTCGGAGTCTCAGGCACTTCAAACTGAATCTCTCCGGCGTCAATCATATCTTGGATCTTGTTCTTGAGAGGCCAGCAGTTGTCTGTAGTATGCCCCGGGCTATCTGAATGATATGCGCACCTATCGTTGGGATGATAGTTGGGGGCAGAAGTATTCGGATTCCGAAGAGGAGCCCTTAAGGTGATCAGCCCTGCCTTCAACAGTTGTTGCAGTGCTTGATCCAGCGACATGTTGAGTTTGGTGTACTGTCGTTTCTCCTTGCGCTGCTGCCCCTGTCCTGGTTGAGCAGGTCCGGGATTGGAGATCTGGATTGCCCCTGCCTCATGACGGCTCTTTCTACCGTGCACAGCATTGGATTCTTTCTTTCCATGATGAGGCTTTTTATCAGAAGGTGCAGCCTCTTGAATTTTCCCAGACCGGATACCAGCTTCTATTCGCTCCCCAGTCAAGATAAGATCTGTGAATCCAGCAGACGAATTCCCAATTAGGTGGTTGTAGAACGGACCAGACAGGGTCCCCAAGAACATATCGACAAGTTCCCGATCAGTCAGAGGTGGTTGTACCCTTCCAGCAAGATCCCTCCATTTCTGCGCATATTCTTTAAAACCTTCACTTGATCCTAACGACATACCCTGGAGTTGGGTACGCGTAGGGGCAAGGTCGGCATTATATTGATACTGCTTATAGAAAGCAGTAGCCAACTCCTCCCAGTTACGAACCTTGGTCCCATCCAGCTGATAGAACCATTCGAGATGAGTCCCTGAAAGACTCTCCTGGAAGAAGTGGATCCACAAATTCTTGTCCACCGTATATGGTTGAATCTTCCGAACATAGGACCTGAGGTGCAGCTTGGGACAAGACGCCCCGTCATACTTAGAGAAGGATGGTACTTTGAACTTGTGGGGGATTATCACACCAGTTGACAAACCCAGATCTCCGAAATCCAGCCCAGGTACCTGTTGAATCTCCATAGCTTTCAGCCTATCCTCCAACTGTTTGTACTTGTCCTCAGCCGGAGGGTACTGTTCGTCATTGAAATCTGTCTCGTTGTCGGAGACCACTGGACTAGGCACCTCTCTCTCATGGTGACTGCTTTCCCTCACAGACGGGGTTGTCCTCTCAGTTTCAGTCTGCGGTGTATTCCCAGATCTGCGTCTAGGGCTGAACAAGACAGTCCTCTTCTTCTTCTTGTCCTTCTTCAAGAGCAGAGCCTTCAGATCTTGCTGCCCCTGGGTCAGATTCATGATCAGCTCCTGGAACTGGGCGTTCTGAGCCTGGAGGTCCTTGATAGTCTGCTCGGCTGATGATTCAGGATTCATGACGATCGGCTGAAATAAACAGCGAAGAAGGGTAAGCAACCTGTCAAAGGGATACCTGCAATGCAATGAGATGTATGATATGCATGCAATGTTTTCAAGGATCTCGCGGGGTAAACAGAGAAACTTTGTTAGCATTTGGAACCGGTAGCTTGATTGTAAGAACTTCATTTTGTTGAGAGTCCTTCGTCAAGGGTCAAAGGCTCACCATATCCAGTGGGTCATAGCCCCTGACAACCTTGGCTAGAGGAAAATAAATCCTCTTTGCCCCTTGCTAGATGTTTGATTCATCATGACCTGCATCACAAGCCCTTGAGATCCTTGAAATGGGTTAGGATGTATGCAATGGTATGCAATGGTATGATGTCATGCTATGCATGGGGTGATGTAGGTAAACCCTGTTATGAGTCCCAATTAAGGACTATAAACAGACCCTGCAAGAAATTCAGTATACTTTGTTATGAGTCCCAATTAAGGACTATAAACAAGACCTGCAAGAAATTTAATACCCTGTTATGAGTCCCAATTAAGGACTATAAACAAGACCTGCAAGAAACAAGTGTCAGGTAACAAGCATGCAGATAGTCAAGTACGAAGGCACACAAGTCACACAAAAGAGTCCTTAGAGTTTAAGGCCAGCATGGGGTATGGGTATTACCCTCTTGAAGTTGGTGGGCTCAACCTGTCCTAATCAAAGTAACCGGGTTCTAAGGTTCCCAATATCACGGGATTGCTTTCATTGTTCATCGTTTCGATTTAGCCACTGAACTGGCGACCGAAATATTCCAGGAAAGCAACCCTCAATTGAGTGTAGTATCGAGTATCAACCAACCTCGGACTGCACCAAAGTCAGTTATCTCACTACCCTAAAGAGGCCAAGATAGTTCAATTAAGGTTCCTAGGGTCTGTTGATGCTTCACGACACCACGCGGAGGCCCCGTACTCTCCTTGACTGAACTCAAGGGTTACCGGTACACACCAAAGTGCCACATCAACGTAGCAGACTGTTTCAACCATGTCGGTATACCCCGCACAGTTCCCTCACAGCCTTGTTGCTACTTTCTAAGAAAGGTATCCCCCAGATCCGGGTTTAGGATCTATAGAACTCCCAAGCAACCCACAATTTAAAGCACACAAGGAAAACAATTGAAAACACAGTTATGAACTAACCCTAAGGTACACCTCACTTTAAATTCATGTCCCCAGCAGAGTCGCCAGTTCCAGATCCACCGATCACAGCAGGTTTCAAGCTTTTCGTATGCCTTGCTCTCATGTCATTGCCGCTTGTGCGCATACCCATCAAGACGCGCTTCAACTGCTCTCAAACGTTTATAAATCTGAAACGTTGCTCACTGTTTACAACAACAACTTTCCTTTGGTGGCAAAACCGGACTATTGGCCTGAATACAACGGTGATATAGTTTGGCACAATGACCAAATGCGAAGGAACAAGAAGGGTCGTCCCAAAAGCAGGCGCATAACAACAGAAATGGACGATCTTGACAGGTTGGAAAGAAAGTGTGGTTTATGCCGTCAGGTCGGACACAATCGCAAAAACTGTCCGAATCGGGCGTCTGGCTCGACCACATAAATTTTGTAATACAATAAATCTTTTCAATATTTGTGTTGTAAACATTATGGGTTTTCCGTTAATAAAACTGTTCACACAATTTAAGAAATTCAATATAGGAAATTACATTAGGGTTTTCGCGTACAACAATGATTAACGATAATCAATATAGGAAATTACATTAGGGTTTTCGTGTACAACAATGATTAACGATAATCAATCTAGGAAATTACAACTGTTAACACAATTTCATCTGACCCATGCATCATCAGCATTACATCACTGTCTGTTTTGACTTCCTCCAACCACACATTAGGTCTTCCTGTCGCATGCGAGGTTGTTGTTCGTTTTCGCTGGATCCTTCGAATTTTTTCCCCCTCGGCGATGTCTCCATCTAGCCACCGCATCAACTCCCGCTTCAGACGCTCCATGGAGTGAATGTGCCAGAATTTCATTTTCATCGCGGGTTTCGTGGCGGAGAATATAACGTAACCATCTCTGCTAAAAATCATAGGCGACGTCATTACGTAAATAAGGGAGTACAAAATAAAAATACAGTGCGAGAAAGTGTGAGAAATTTCAAAGAAACGGACGAATTATTTATAAAACAGCAAAAAACCCTAGTTTTGCCCTAGGCGCCAAGTGAGATGGCGCCTCCTCTCCTTTTTAAGGAGCATGCGCCATCTCACTTGGCTAAAAGCCAATGGAGGCGCCAAGTGAGATGGCGCCTAGGGCAAAACCCTAGGTGCATGCGCCAAATGACTTGGCTCCTCCTTTGTGGAGCCATCTCAAACATGGTTATTTGCGTAATTTTTTCCGAAACCCGGTTATTTGTGAAATATTTTTTTAATACTTGGTTATTAATAAAAAAAATTCACCAAAGTACTAGGCTTTTCCTTAAGGCGTCAGTGCTTTTTTATCTGTCGAAACCAATGGCGAAATAGATGATGTTTATAGTCTTAGGTCTATGTCATCTATTGCAATCTCGTATGGTGAAAAAGGTTCAGTTTTTTGTGGTTTGAAATCAGATGGATTGAATATTGTGACATGTTATGGATCTAACTCGGTTATAATGTATGAAACACCTATGCATTTTTCGTTTCATGGATTAACATGTGGTGATGGGTTTGTTTGTGGGCTTTTAATGGATTCGAATCAACCTTATTGTTGGGGTAATAATGGGTATATTCAGATGGGTGTGCCTCAACCTATGATTAGAGAAACTCAGTATTTTGAAATTCGTGCTGGCGATTATCATGTATGTGGATTGAGAAAGGTTAGGAATAGAAATGTTTCTTTGGTTGACTGTTGGGGATATAATATGACTGCAAATTACGTACTTGATGGAATGATTCAGTCGATTTCAGTAGGTTCTGCGTTTAATTGTGGATTATTTTCGAGCAATGAGAGTGTTTTTTGTTGGGGTGATGAGACTAGCAATAAGGTGATTAGTTTCATTCCTTTGAAAATGAAGTTTAGAATGATTTATGCTGAAGGGTTTCATGTCTGTGGAATCTTGGAAGGGGTGAATTTGAGAACTTTTTTTGGGGGGAGAAGCTTGAACATTGAGGAGCAGATTTCAGCAACAACCTACATTTTACTCACTAGCCTTAAGATTCTAATTTGCTTGCTTCTAAAGAAACATGCCACTTGGTATGTTAGCCGCTGTCAAAGGAGGAAGCATCATCTTCATGTAGATAAATTCAGGGAACTACTAGTTTGATGCACTTTGTTGTTAAAGGATTCCCTTGCTTGTGCCTGAATATTATGGAGGGAAACAATTTCTTAAGAATTGAGTTAGGGGTGATCAACAACACTTGGAAAGTACGAAACAACTTCAGGTTCATCCAGAAAAGGTTTTTGAATCTGCAGGTGAGTCATAGGCTAGTGGGTGGAACTGAAACTTCTTCCTTTGCAGTTTTCGTTAGTAGTAAACTGGTTTTCCAAAAACAGGAACATAAAGTTATGAGTTATGCATTATGGGTGGCATCTATTTGGACTTCCAACATTCAGATACTTCTAAAACTTTGTACTTTATATGTTGTATTATGGTTATAATCATGCAAGAATCCTTTGACATGAAGCATGTGAAATATGGTAAATTTAGAAGAAACATATTGTTGCCCCTGGGAGAATGGTATCGAAAATATGAACACTATATATTGGTGATGGGACCTAAGCTTTGATTGTTTGAATAATTTATACTAACTTGAGATTTGATAGGGTACACTATGGCTCATAATGGGTAGATAAATGTTTAGGAAAAGTAGATAGGATGATACAGAGAAACCTACCTGGCATTGACAACACTACCTTTAATTATATCTCTTTCTATCTCTCTTTTTGAATTTGGTTGGTTGAAGATGTTGTGTGACGTTTGACATTCATTTTATGTGTAGCTTCTAGTTCTAGTTCTAGACCATGTTAATTTATCTTCATGCATGTATGTTTACATTATAGATCAGTGGAATCACCAATATAACTATGATGGATAATATGGATGGTTATGTAACACTTGATTTAAATGTAACTGATGTTTGTTTGTTTATGTAATCAGCTCAGTTTGGCTGGTCTTGCATTGCTTCTTAAGGTGATATGTTACTTTATGGTTCAAGTTCTAATTTTGCTATTTTTTTTATTAAATAGATGACAGAGAATTTAGAGCATATAAGTCTTACAACTTCACCTAGCACTCAAGATGAAGCTATATTTCCACCGCATCCCAAAGAAAAAAGCGTCAATTACGGTCTGATATGTGGAACTACTTCACCGCGGTGGAAGGTGATGAGAAACAGGCTAAATGTCAATGCTGTGGAGTCTTAATTAAGTATAGTAATAGAACAAGTGGTATGCAAACTCATCTAGGTAGATACACTGCTTATGATCATGATAAAACTCAAGCCACCCAACCAAACAAAAGGAGAAAAACCAATTCATAAGGGACAGTAGTTTGTTCTCCAAGTTATTCTAAATTTGATCAAGAGTAATTTTGAGCGCTACTTGTGAAAACATTTTGGTGTTGTTAGCTTCCATTTTGTTTTGTGAAGATTGAAGTCTTTAGAAATTTATTAATCACTTTGCGGCCTCGGTTTTATATCCCATTACGGTCTACATTGAGGCGTGATATTTGGGTGCTCTACCTTGAAGAAAAGGAGAAATTGAAAAAATTCTTGTCAAATCGTGGAAGAGTTTGTTAGACTATTGACACTTGGACTTCAACTCAAAACTTAAGTTACATGAGTTTGACCGTGCATTTTATGGATAGTGATTGGAAGATGCATAAGAAAATCATCAACTTTTGTCAAATCACGGGGCACTCGAGTCACATGATTGGAAAATATGCTGATGATTACTTAAGAAGTTGGGGGTTGAGTCAAATCTTGACCATAACAGTTGATAATGCTTCGGAAAACACCATTATGATTAAGTATCTCAACATAAGAATAAGGTCTTGAAGTAATCTTGTTTTGAATGGGAAATATGTTCACATGAGTTGTTGTGCGCATATCTTGAACTTAATTGTAAAATCTAGATTGAAAGAGAATAAAAGTTGCATTAAAAAAATCCGTCATGCGGTTAAATATGTCAAATCTTCTCCTAGAAGACTAGTCAAATTTATGGAATATGCGGTGCAGGAAAAAGTTACATACAAAGGTGTTGTTATCCTTGATGATGAAGCTAGATGGAATTCAACTTATTCAATGTTGAAGGTTGCCTTACAGTATCAAAAATATTTTGACTTGCTCTATGCACGAGATAAGACATTTCACGAAGAAATGGACAAAATGAATGAGGGTGTTAAGAAAGAGGATTGGGCATATGTTGCATCAATGTTTCCCTTGCTTGAGATGTTTTACAACTCTATAAATCATTTGTCTGGATCATTACATGTCACTAGTGCTTCATATTTGGCAGAGGTATTCACCATTGGAAAAGGGATAAATAAGAATTTAAAGAGTAATAATGAGCACATAAAAAACACGGCGAATAAGATGAAAGGTAAATTCAACAAGTATTAGGGAAATCCTGACACAATAAAAATCTTACTATTGATTGCTTTTGTTCTTGATCCAAGGGTGAAATTGACTATTGTAGATTTTTATATTGATCTTTTATATGTTGTAACCAGAAAAGTCGACGATTTAAAAAAAAAATGAAGTCTTCTCTTTCAGAACTTTATGTTCAATATTGAGCTTTTGACGACTCTCAATCTATCTAAGTAGACACACCACCAAATACGGATGATGATGATAATATTTTCTAGCACTACAGTAAAAAAACTAGGCATAAGTCTGATCCTAAGACTGAAGTTGAATCATATCGACAAGAAACATGGGTACCATATGTTAAAACAGTTGAGTTTGACATCTTAGGTTTGTTGAAAGTCAACTTAACTAGATATCCTATTTTGGAAAGCATAGCTCGAGAAGTGTTGGCTATTCTCGTCTCTACTGTAGCTTCAGAATCTTATTTCACCACTGATGGAAGGGTTGTTAGTGATTAACGCACTTGTATAACACCTAACATGGTGGAAGCACTTGTTTGCACATAAGATTAGTCGAAAGGAGAATCAGTCTCCTTATTTTCCGAGGAGAACCTTGATGAGATCCATCAATTAGAGCAAGGTAAATCAATTTTCTAACATTTTTATTTATAATTTTCCAACTTATTGTTGCATTTATTGATGCTTTGTCTATTTAAAATTATTCACGCTAAATGATTATCAAGACTTTGATTGTTTTCACAGTATGAGTGAAATCTATGGCCTTGATATTGACAATATGGGGATTTCTTTCATATATTTATCATAATTATTTAGATGATAAAGAGGCTAAGGAAGTTTAGAGTCTTTGTCTTGGGGTCTCAAAGGGTGAGGTAGAAATCTCTTTTGAAATGAGTTGAGAGAAGGAGGAAAATAAAATGTAATGTTGTTGATTTTGTATCTTTATTGATATTATAGAAAGATATTAGTATATTTCCATGGATCACTTATGTTTTTCTACTGATGTGATACAGTGGGAGAACTGACTTGAGGGTTTTGCGTTTGATCGCAAATGTTGCGGTTAGACAGAGTCGCCACCGACTTTTCTTTTATCCAAAAGGAAAGGTGAAAAAGCACAGGAAATACCTTTGAGATTGTTTCTTGAGTTCGGGGGGGGGGGGGGGGGGGGGGGGGGGGTAGATTATGAAAAGGGAAGGTATTAGCACCCTTTTCATCCATGGTTTTCCATGGGATCTTAGTTACTTGCTAGATCACTTGCTTTTTGTTTTAAAGTGTGCTTGATGTGGTTTTTGAAAGTATTTTGTAAAGAGGCCATTGTTTAGGCAATCTTTGTAATGATTCTTGTTTGTAAGAATGTATACAAAGATGTATGATCTTTTGAAAATGTTTTCAATTTTGTAAGATGTTTGAAAGTGTGTGTGTTTGTTTTGAAAATAGTAAGGATGTTTGTTTTGAAATGGAGCAAGTAATTAGGAGCAATCTACCTACTCAAATGTTTTTCTTATTCATTTTCTTTTCCTTTGACATTGTTGTCGTACCATTGATTTGGTAAGAAAACCTATCTTTGGATGTAAATGGGACGGGCGTGGGTCATCGTATAACCATGATTAGCAATGTTGCAAAGTATCTTAGCATACTTTTTGAGGGACTAAGATCATTTATAAGGCAACTTAGATAGTGTCATCGAGGGAACATGATCTTGTATTTGCTTGTTTTTGCTAAGATACCTTACATGCGTATAAGGTAACCAAGTGGAATAACCACAGGGGTGTTTGTGTGCAAATGTATTGTTTTCATGCTTGTTTTTGTCTTGAATTAGGGTTTTCTAAGTATTGGTTTTAGTTTTTCCATACAAACCCTAATTACTAGCATGTTATATAAAAGCGATAAATTGCGAAATTTAAAGTTACTACACTATTACAACATTTTTGGGAGGGGGTGTACAAATTACAAATGGGGATTACAAGAAATTAAACCTTAATTAGTCTATTACAACCAAATTGAATTTATACAAGAATTAAAATAAATAATGTACAAGATGAATTAAATATGCAAGAAGGTAAATGTTAAGAAAATGGATATTTTGTTTGATGTTTTATGAAAAAGGAATTTTACCTTAACCTAATAAAATAAAGAAAATAATTTATTAAGTTTGAAATTATTGAGAAAAGATTTTAGATGAAACCCCTAATTTTATTAATTAATCAAAAGAAAATAAGTTTAAGAAAAGTATTTTTTTTTTGGCATTTTTTATCTTGAAAATATTTTTGCATTATAAAATATTTTTAGTCTTTTTGGTATTAAAATAATATATTTTAATTGGTGTAAAAGGAAATAAATAATATCCTAGTTTTAATTAAATTTACAAGAATAATTAGTAAAATAAATAAAGTGTGGTCAAATATATTTTTGTGAGAAAAATAAATAAACTAAGTTAAAATATAAATCTACTATTTTTTGTATTTTATGATTTTTTTAGTATTTTAAAAAATATATTTAAGAAAATAAAATAAAAATAAAATGGAAAATATAATAAATGGGCCAGGGGTGTCAAAAGCCCGCAGGGGGTTAGTAATAAAAAAAACAAAAAGAATAGCTAAGCCCAAAAGGCCCAGCGCCTATTTGCTGAAGCAAAAAGAAAGGAAAAATGACCAAAAAATGTAAACAAAAGCAAAAAAGGAAACGCTGAGGTTCGAACCCATGACCACTACCAATAACGCGCGCTGCCTTACCATTGGGGTGACTGTACATCCGTTAATATAACTGAAACAATAATTACATAACACAAAACGCGCCCTGATTACACTTCATCTTCAACCTCCAGCCAAAGGACATGTATCTTCTTCATCTCTCAACAAAAATGAAAATTTCAAACATGAAAGTTGTGGCATTTTCTCCCACGAATCCAAACATATAAACAACTTAAGCTAACAATCAAAGATGAATGAGAATTTTCTAGCCCTAATTCAAAACCTAAAAATTTCAGAAAACTTCAACCCTAAAATTCTCTAAGCTCGGGCCATATAAATGTAAACTATGGATATGTACAGCTTCGTGGCAATGGTATCTACATTTTATCTTCACAAACCAAACTCAAATGATGCCTGTATGAAGAGATAGAAGTTTGAAAACTTACCTCTTGCAGCTGGAGTGGTGTATGGAGTTTGAGCAACCTTTGTGATGGCCTGATAATTTTTGTAGCTTGCGTGGACCTCCTTGAATGTGTTCCAACTCCTACTTTGCTTTGAGGATGGTTGGAACTCCCAACTCAAGTCAAGTTGCAAGCTTCAGTTTTGAAAAAGGTGGATGATGATGGAGGAGTTACAGTTAGGAAATGAGGGCCTGGATGACTTTGATATGATGTATGGAAGGTGTTTGGATGATTAGTTTTCAAAACGCACGAGTGGAAATGAAGATGGTGAGTTTTTGCTCAAAATTGTCAAGTTTGGGTAGTTCTGTGCAGCAAGGAGCTTGGGAGTGTTTTAGGGCTTGTCCAAACGTGTGTTGTGTTGCAATTGACTTGTTAATATGTATGGAAAATATTAGAGCACAAAATCACTCAAGGTTCTGAGTTATAGGGTTCTGGCTCTATAACTTGCTTTTTAAGAAAAGTTAAGTGACAAATCTCAAGTATTATACAAGCATGTTCTGAGCTTCTTGAGACCTTAGACACATTTATTTTGGTTTATAGGGGTTGTTTGTGCAGAAAGAACAAGTTAGAAGCTCAAGACAAGTTGACTTTGTGATTAAAGCAATCTTTCAAGAATGGAATGGTAACTTTCTTCCTAAAATGGCAAATTGGCTTGGACAATGCTTGGAACACTTTGATAATAGCTCAAAAGTAAGTTTAATCTTCTGATTATGAATATATCTTGAGGTTTAGAGACTTTCAAAACAAGATTGTGCAGCATAGGTTTGAAATTGAGTTCTTGTTCATCACAAAATGGCTTGTAATTTAAGTGATAAAACCCTAACTTCATCTCTGCGATTCTCCCTACTCAAGAATGATCTCAAGGAGTTCCATGACATTTTAGAAAGGTTGTAACATGATATACAACCCCTATTTGAATTGCCTTTGAAGATTCCCCTTGGAACTATGTGAAAAAGTGTCATGAAGTTAGGTCAAAATGTTGTCTAAATTAGGGCAAAATTTCACTAAGTGTTTTGTTTCATGACCCTATGTTCATAAAATTGTAACTTGAGATTCAAGCATTTTTTGAAGAAGTTGTGTGAAGAAAAGTTGTAGATTTAATTGATATCTACAACTTTCATGTTGGAAGTTTATATTGAATCATCTTGCATCATGGTGAAAATTTGGCTCAAAGTTATGAAAAGATAAGAAAATTTCCATACTTAGAAAAATTTCGAAGTTAAGAAATTTTAACATTTCAAGATGAAATCTTGAATTATTGATTTCTTGATGAACAAGTTTGATATTTTGACATGTTTTGATGAATTGTGATCTTTGGTACTTGAATTTGATCAAAAAGTCAAAGTTTGACTTTTTAGTTTACAATTGACTTTTGATTAGTTGACTGAAAAATTCATCTGTCAATCCAATGGACTTGCAATATTTTGAACCATGTAATTAGGTTAAAATGATTCAATTAGACTCTTGAGATCATGCCTTAAACCAATTGACCATTTGCTAGGTCAAAAATCAGAAATTGCCCTTTCCCAGTTAAAACCCTAATTTTGACCATTTTGCCCTTTTGGAGATTTGATCAAATTTCTTGAGGAGTTGTGGTCCAAACTTGATAAAATGATACATATGATTTTAAGATGTTTATGTGGACCAAAAATTATGAAGTTGGATTGTGAATTGGCCATAGTTGACTTTTCCCCCAATACAACTGATTTTTAGGTCAACTGCTCAATTGACTGATCAAAAGTGTGATCCAAGGCTTGAAACTTGACATAAGTAATCTTGGGGGTTCATAATGATCCATGAAAATCATATGGGGCATTGGAAGTCCAAAAATCCTTGTGAAATCTCAAACCCTAATTTTGGTCATC